TCTTCTGATATAAACTATAAGTACTTTATTTCAACAACAACAAAAAAAGGGAACTGTATCCAAATAAATCCTGACATTCAGAAACATATTCAACACTTGGAAACTAAAAGAGTAGCAAAAAATAAAACCTGTTAGTCCTTAAAGCAGTCTCATAAACACCATTATTTTGCTATTTCTAGGGAGCTGTTGTTATTGAGGCTACTTAGACCAAGGCTTTCATTCAACGGTTCTAAGTCACCATCCCAGATGGCACTGACCTCTAGGTTAATCCAGGCAATCAACACACCCACTCCAGTGAACTTTACTGAGGGGTAGTGGAAAGCGTGCTCTTTTCCATATGTTTAGAAATTAACTCCCCATACAGTTTAAATTCGCTACAGCATTTCCAGCCTTCCAAGCCCTTTCTTGGTCTAAAACTGTACAGCTTTCAGTACAAATGCATATCCTTCATATTAAAATGTTTTAACTGCAATTCCTGAAATTCTGTATTTAATTATGGTGGCTTTGCTCATGTTATTGTATAGGTCAATCACAAACACTCATTTAGGCATCACCTGTGATCTACAGAATATTAAAACTTCACTGAGCCCTGTACCATGGAGAAAACTGTATGGTAAAAAGATGAGAGGGCTAAACTAGCCTCTACACGATAAAAAGTAATAAAAATACAGAATGGCTTTTCTTTTCTTTAAACTTTCATGCTTTAAGCATGACTGTTACCATTCTCAAATGCATCCAGTACAGAACTGTAATACACTGATTTAATGTGTGATGCAACATCTTACATTAACACTTCCTATCCTGGAATGCATTTATAATCAATTGGCTCAAAGAGTTACGCACAATTTCTTTAAGATCCTGATTATATCTGCCACAGATAAAAACACTATATATTCCTATGTTTCTATACATGTATTCATTATTGTCTGTTCCAATTTCCAGCAGGATGGTAATAAATAAATTCATTTACTCAGCCAATATTTATTGAGAGCATTCTACGAGTTAGATATTGTGCTTGCGGCTGGGATTTAATAGTGAGTAAAACAGACACAACCCATACTCTCATATGTCTGCAGTGTACAACAAGAAGAAAATCTATGCTCATATGTAAAATTCAGTTCAGAATTCCAAGAGCATTTAAGGTCTTCCATTTAAGACTGGCCTATCGCGACCAGCCTAACATGGTAAAACCCCAGCTCTAGTAAATATAAAAACAAATAGCAAGGCGTGGTGGCGCATGCCTGTAATCCAAGCTACTTGGGAGGCTGAGACAGGAGAATCGCTTGTACCTGGGAGGCAGAAGTTGCAGTGAGCTGAGGTCACGCCATTGCACTCCTGCCTGGGCAAGAAGAGCAAAACTAAAAAAAAAAAAAGACTGGCCTAAACTTTGCCTGTTTCAATAGCGATAATTCAATCAATTAAAGGGGGTTTGCTAAATCTTCCTATTTGATAATTAAGATCTAAAGAGTAAAAGAGTAAAAGACTTCAAAAACATGTAAAATAAGAACAGGTTAATAGGAAAAAAATGTTTCTTCTAGGAACTGAAAAAAATTTCAGGATAACTATATGTAACATGAAGCAGGCATTCAAGGCCATTTGTATTACACAGACTTACAGACAAATTACATTAAATGAGGTTATCTACGTACCACCAATAGAAATATTTAGTGAATATTCATGAAAATTCATCAATTAAAGGAAATATGTGCTTTACACCTACAAAATACACAAAAACATTAACCAAGTAAAAATGAAGTATGCTCTTGTGTGTCTACATTGAATGCAAAGACTAAGTTTTGAGTGTCAAAATAAACACTAATATAAATGAATTCAAAGAATGAGTAAGTTAAAAGACAACAAGAAAATAATTCAAAATTTAATGTAATATTCTTATAGTGGTAGATTTCAGGGTTCATGTTTCTAAAGTTAAAATAAAAATATATATAAGCATATGGAATAAATTTGGAAGATTAGCACAGTTGTCAAATATAAATCAAAATAGCCCAAATTTTACTGCCATACTTTCATCTAGTCAGGTACCTACTACTTGCCTTTTTAAATGTCTCCATATTATTAATATACAAAAGTAAATAATTATATGAGCAAATGCAAGGGTACCCACTTTTATCCCTGTCAAACAAATCCTTTTCCATCAAAATGGCATCAAGTCTTGAACTAAAATTTACTTTGAAAACAATTTTATACTGAATTTCATTTCAAAATACAGTTATTCCTCCATAAACTGGTTAAAAATATTAGTAGATCTTTAAACTGTGAATGGATACATTCTATAATCTCCTCTGGACAGGTTTTATTTAAATGACAGAAGGAACCAGAACATTCAGTCTACTCATCAAAGCAGCAAATCAGGAATTCCTCAAATGAAATCCCTCCCTAATATCTCCTTGTTGAAATCAACCGTCCTGGATTCAAAAACTCCTGAAATCACACTCATACACACACATGCACGCACAAATCCACATTTAGCGTATATTACTATATAGATTGTGTATTGTGGTATTTATGTTGCAAAGGCAACATACCAAGAACATGAAGCAGTAACAATACTTGCATGATGTTCCGCTAATAAGAGGGAAAAAAAGTTCTCCACACTCCCACCACTTTAGCAGTAAAATTGGTTTGCGCTTTTTCTCAGAAAATTATCTCCAAGTTCATTTTTAAAAGCACAGTGTTATTTAAACACACAGTATGGAATTAAGCATCCATGTAAGTGTATTTCCCTTAAACATTCAAACCCAGGCCCATTGACAAACCGGTTCCCTGGGCTTCAACTCTTAGCTGCTGGGAAACTCGGAGCTGTCACTTTTCAGGCAAACAGGGTTGGCTGGAAAGACCTCAACTGCCCAGTTCACAGTTAAACAGAAACAAAGACTGTCAACAGGGCAACAGAAGAAAAAAAACATTTCTTAAAACAAGTCTCTCTAAAATACGTGCTTTTCCCCTTAATCATGCACTTAAACACTCTACATATTTCTCTTGTTCTTTATTTTCTTCTCAATCTTGGGAACTCAGAAAACATTCAACTGCCTGTTTTCAACCATTAGAAGTAGCTCAAAATGAGAATTAAAAAAAATATATCTTTACTTTCCAACTGCAGGTTGCCTCCTCCCTGGCTTCATTCCCCTAAGCCCACCTCTTTCATCCAGTGTTTTGCCTTCAGTTCTTTACAAACATGTGCCCATTTATCTGAGTTTCAAAATGAAGACATAAAGCATGTCATGTGAATTAACTATTACTAACTATGTGTGTGATCAGTATATTTTGTTCCTGCTTGTAAATGATCCAGTACATAAGCAGTTCATTCCCAAAGGCAATTGGTTCCTTGAGCCAGCAAATGGAATGCTCAAGATAAGAAAGAAAATGCATGCTTCTCAAACACCAACTGACAGTACAATATTCTTTTCTTACAGAAATGTTTGAGAAACACATTTATTATACATGCAAATATCCAGAACACAAGACATTTTTCAGGCCTGTTACTGCAAAGCTGTTTGCTCTTCCTACCACAATAGCTCAGGGTTCTGTCACTGTGGCTTGTATGTGAATCCTGATCGCTTGATTCTGAACATCCTCTCTGAGATAATCATCAATAAATTTCTATTTGAGAAATGGCATTTTCTTGCTAACTTAGAGCTAAAGCAGAATTTTTTTTCAAGACTAGAGGAAAATTTTTCCTGTATGCTTCCCGTTTTCCTTCTAGCCCAGATTCCAAAGATATTAAAATGCTACCTGTTTTAAACAAAAGGTTTCTATTTGTTGCCAAGAGAGTAACTGAGAGCCTGCACTGGTTTTCGGCAGTAACTATTGTGAATTCAGGCCTACATCTGGGTTGCCTCATTAAACAAAAGATACCGGTCGCTGTCAACAACCACACAGCACAACGCTCCCCTACCCTCATCTTTATCTATAAGGAATGGTGCAGACGAGAATCACGCCTGTCACCATCCACTAGCCAAGAAACTCTTCTAGGCTCCCTCCTTTCGATGGTCTGGTGGCTAGAGAACAGCACTTGTGTGACACATTTGGGCTCGCCCTCCCGCCCCGCCCCCAATACACAGGCCCTTTCCTTGGAGGGCCAACCACTTGGCTTCCTCATCATCAGTGCTCCGGGAATCCAGTTGCGAGTCTGCCCACCGTTCCCCCATTCCCTCCTGACCCCAGAGGGCACTGATAATGGATGCACACCGGCCACCCCACCGCAGGCCATCCCCCAACGTGCCCCGGCTCCGCTCGCCACCCGCTGGGCCACACACACAGCTCCCCGCGCCACCACCCCATGGGGTGCCGCGGCCACGACACTGGAAGTTCAACCCCTCTGCCCACCTTTCCACCCCCGCGCCTCTGGCCGGAGTGATCTGCCATTTAGCAGATGCACAGTAGATAAGGCACAGCCCTCAGGGACCCAAAAAGAAAAAAGCCGAGACACCCGGCAGGGCAGCCGCGACCCCTCTGCTGCGTGTGTGTATCTGGGTGTGTGTGTGTGTGTGTGTGTGTGTGTGTAACGCGCCCGCGCACCCGCGCGGGTGAAGGCAGTGGCCGGGGGCGCGCCCGGGAGGGTAGGGGCTAGCCGCGGGCGCCGGGGGGCGGGGGACGCCGAGGGCAGTTGTCCCGCAGGGCCAAGGATGGTGGGCTGGGGGCGCAGAGGCCCGGTGGGGCCCCGGGCGGTACTCACCGAGCAGCAGCAGCTTGAGCTCCCGGCGGGCGTCCCGCTTGTCCCTGCGGAGCTGCCGCTCGATCTCGTCGTTGATCCGCCGGGCTTCCTTGGCCTCCTCGCTCAGGCAGCACGCCATGATGGACTCCAGAGTCATTCTTCCAAAGTGCCTCCGCTGTAGCCCCGCCGGCACCCCCTGCTCACAGCGCGCACACACACCCTCCCGCCCTCGCTCCCCCGAGGCAGCGGTGGCCGCCGAGCCCCCGCCGCCCGGGCGCGCGGCCGGGACGAGCTCCGGGAACCGCCGCGGGGGCAGCGGCCAGGGCCGGAGCCACCAGGTGGGCCGGGGGCGCGGTGGGAGCGGATGGCCTGGGCCGACGGGAGAAGCGAGGCGGGCGCGGGAGGCGGGCGCTGGCTCGGGGGGCGCGTGAGAGAAGGCCGCCGCGCCCGGCCTCGCTCAGACGCCCGCGCCTCCTTCCCCGGGAACGGGCGGCCCGCCTCGCCCCCCGAGCCGCCGCCGCCGCCGCCTGCGAGGCTCCCCTACGCCGTGCGCCTGGCGGCGAGAGCTCATCCACCGGGGTGTCCCCGCAGCGAGCGGCCGCCGACGGCTCCCCGCGCCCGGCGCGCCCGCTCCTCGCCGCCGCCTGACACGGCTCCCGGGCGCCTTCGGCCCTGTCCGCGCCCACCGCCCGGCTCGCGCGCAGACCCGGTTCCCGGCCCGCCCGGCAACCGCGCGCTCCTCCGCCTCCGCCTCCGCCTCCGCCCCCGCCAGACGCCCACCCCCTGCCCCGATTGCCAGGCGCGGAGCGGCTGCTCAGTGCGCGCCCTCCCCCTCGCCACACACACACATTTTCTTCTTTCTCTGAACTGGAGCACAGATCCGGGAGGGAGGAGGCGGCGGCGAAAGGAGGAGGGGAGGAGGCGGAGGGGACGGGCGCGGGAGGAGGGGAGCCGGGAGGCGGTGCCGCCCGGCCCCTCCTGGAAGGCTTTCCTGGGCTCGCGGCCGCCGCGGCGCGCCTCCCAGTGCGGCTCTCGCCTCGCCCGCGCGGCTCCCGGGCTGGGCCGGCTCTCTCGGGCTCTGCGGACGCCCACTGCTCCCGCACCCTCGGCAGAGCCCGCGGACGCCGCGGTCACAGCCGCCCCCGGCCGCCGACGTGCAGCCCGAGCCGGCGGCCGCCGCTGCGTGCTAGGACCGCCGCCGACCTGCGGCTGCCGTCCGGCCGGGCGTGGTGAGGCGGGAAAATGGCGGTCTCTGCCTGCCTCAGCCCACCGGCCCGGGAGCGCGGCCGCGGCCCCTGCTGAAGTCGCGGGAGGCGGCCCCGCGGAGCCCCGCACGCGCTCCCTGCGGCGCCGGCGCTGGCGTCCGCGGCTCCCGCGCTGTGCCTGTGTGCTCCGCGGGGACGCTCCTCAGCCGCTTCTGTGTTTCCCGTTCCTATTTCTAAAAACGCCATTCGGTTAGAAACTCTCATGTCACCTCTGACCCCGGTGCAGTCTTAGAAAATAAGATCCTCTATACTGTGGGGGGCAACTGGGGAAGGGAAGGAATTGGCACCGGTGCCCGGAGGCACAGGGGGAGATTCACAGGCGAAGCTGTCCGCAAAGTAACGAGAGATAGAAATCTAAATCCTGAGCAGAGAAAGGAAGCTGCCCAAGTTTCCAGCAGCCTCCCGATAGGTTCCAACTTTTCATGCCTTTGTTTTTTGGGTGGTTGTTGGTTGTTTCTGTTTTTTTAAGTTGTTTTTGTTTTTGTTTCACAAGTTCTCTTGTTTCTGACAAGGCACACAATGTTTAACCGCCGAGTAATCGAATTTACCCTTCTAGACTGAGATTGAATTATGGATGACTTATGGGAAAATGTTAAATAATATGAAATAAACGGAAAGGAAACAATGAAATAGAAGAGAAACTAAGGTGACCCCAGCAAAGTGGCATTCTAGTTTTTTTGGTTTGCAATATTTGATTGAGGCAGTTAAGTGTCGTGTGCATATTTCATTGTGATCGTCTGCTGATAAATAGCACACGAAAATAATCTCGTTCAATCAGGTCCAGGAGGTGAAACTCATACTGCTTCCTGCCTTAAAGGAACCTGAGATCTTCAAAGAAAATTGTCTTTTATGACGAGAACTGCTTTTTCACGTTTCATGTGTTCTCTGAAGTGTCCCTGGTGCAACCTGCTGATCCAGAGTGTAAGGTATGGTCATGACTTTGCTTTTGCTACAGATCAAGAATTCATATAGGGTTCTTAGACAACAGGTGTGTAACTTCCTTCTTTCTTTCATTTGCCATTACTCCACCCTTTCACACAAATACACACACTCTAAACCAGAATTTAAATCAAGCAAGTCAAGATACAAAATGTACCTTTTAGGTTCTCTCTTTAAAACCTAGAAAATAATTAAATTTCACCTTGGCCTGGAGAGCAGAGAGGGCAAACCTCAACCCTTGTATGTGAATGCCTACAAAGAACAGCTAGACTTGCAATGAAATTAAAATTTAAAATCAAGTGACTAAAGAAATTAAAGATTGAAATTCAGTGTGCAAAAATAGTAGCTTCAGGAGAAAAAATTTTAAGTTTGCATCTTCCTAATATATGTCTATATATGAGCTTTAGAGAGACCCAAAACAATGAAAAACCAAGTGACAGAAAGCTTCAAGTGTCTGGTTTCCTACCCAAGGATCCTCTGAGACTTTCAAAAATGTCTTTTAAAATGAGTCATCAGGCTATCAGGTAATCTGTTTTTACTGAATTGTCCTATTATTTGATGAACTTGCCTGTTTCAGCAGGCTGTAGATACAGAGTCTGTTTTGTCCCCCCTGTTTCCCTCCAACATCAGGAACACTCCCTGGCACTTAGATACTTGAATGGATACAATGAATCAATAGGAGAATGTTTCAAACACTGGGGAGAAATCAGGAAGTAAGAAAAACCAGCATGCTACAGTGATAAAGCCATATATGGGTGTCAAGAAGGAAACAGGAAAAGAAATCTGAAGTCTGAGCCCAGATCTATCCAAAAACCTTTTCATATTATCTGGAGAGCATTTGCCAAGCAAATATTCCTAGAGACTAAGTCAAACAAATAGAACCCATGCAGAAACAACTGATAGTTGACCATGTTCTACAAGCACATACTCTAAAACAAGCAACTAAACAGGGATCACGTAACAAAATCCCAGTTCATTCAGTCAACAAGCATTTATTCATTGCCTACTATGTGTAAATAACAGGTGAAGGTGCAGGATAAGAGTGATACTAAAATGAATAAAATACAGTCCTTACCCTCCATAGGCTTATAGTCTTATAATGAGGCTCTAAGCAGCTATAATGAAAGACTAAAATCAATTTGTATAAAATTTGGGGTAGAAGTAACAATATAAAGGTATAAAAAGGAAGGGGAGAACTGGAAAAGATATGGCAGGAAAAGGGGCATTGAGATGCATGTTAAAGAATGAAAAGGTTTTCAATAAATAGGTACCTACATCACCTTAAAGTAAATCAGCAATTCCGAGTCACCTCACACAGACAGTAAGATGATAAACCATTTTGAGAATTCAAGGACTAATGAGCTGAAAAGCAAATTGCAATACCCAAGGAACATTGAACTTCAGAGAAAAATAGGAAGACTGTCACCTTTTCTATGGTATCCTGAGATGGATCTCCAACCCCACGATCGTATCACCCTGTCCTTTGGGGACTGGAAAAGAAAAACAGTAAAAGGCATAGTTTAGTCTTAAGGAGTGGTTCTGCAGTCAAAGAATGAAAAGGCCGTGGTCTTCTAAAAGGATCTCCTGGGGAAGGAAAGGCCCATAGAGGTAATCAGACACAGGCAATATACAGTACCTCTCTTGTTCCCAGTCACTTAGCATGGCTGCTTCCTATGCGCCATATCACTGTCATTCTCTAGTGTTCTCTTTCTCTCTGCCCTCTCCCCCTCTGAATTAGGAGCTTCTTGAGAGCAGGGGCCTTGTTTTTCATAACTGTTTGCAAGGCACCAGAAAGAGAGCCTAGCCTAGAACAGCTACTCAGTAAATAATGAATAAACAAAAGAATGCTACCACCTACATCGTCAACAAACACACACTTGCAGACTGCCTGTCCCAGGCAGTGTATTATGCCAGATGCCTGAGGCATACAAAGCCCTTAAAGGCTTTATAATCTATTTGGTGAGACGGGCCATGCGCTTCAAAGAATAAACAATACAAAATGAGAAGCACCCGTTGCTAACATACAGTACGGAAAATGGATTGCTAGCAGAGTTCAAGAGAAGCAGTTCCCTAAGCTGCCATTCAAATTAACCCAAAGTATGAGGAGACACACGCTGGTCACCCAGAAGACCATTTAGAAATCAGCCTGAAGAGCATTGTAGACCCTACAAGAGCTGGGAAAGAGCTGTCTGGCCAAGTAATAAAGTGGATTTGCTCCTGGGAAAGAAAGAGAAGCCGACACAGGGAGACGCTGAGAGCTGCAAATGGCACCACCTACAGGAACATTCTTATAACAGCAGAAAAACTGAGATTCTTAAGTGGAACTGTCCAGTGGAAAGAAAAGCAGGGCCAACTTGTTGAAGATGAAAAACTAGGATGAAGCATCTTCTAAAAGAGAAAATATCCACATTACAAGTCATGTAGCAGATATTCTAGAATCTAAATGAAGCATAGTACCTCAGTGACATCTTTCCTTTACCAAGCTCAGAAAATGCACCCGGGTAATACTCTTATTCCAATCAAATATATCTATCTTGTGCTTATCCAGGGTTAGCAATATCAAGGGAAGCACTGTACTTTACAGTTTGAAGGGCCACCAAAGTCCCAGTAGACTGGAAGACTCTAAGAGGCTTGTCAGATGGGAGCTCATTTTAAGTTGAGTAGAATAGTGTTTCAGCCAGAGAAGCTAATGTTTGATGAATGAATAAACAAATGAATGAATATGTACTAAAATCAGATAGTAAGATGTCAGGTCACCCAAAATCATGATCTAAATCTATTTGGGGCCGGGTGTGGTGGCTCACACCTGTAATCCCAACACTTTGGGAGGCCAAGGCAGGCTGATCACTTGAGATCAGAAGTTTGAGACCAGTCTGGCCAGCATGGTGAAACCCTGTCTCTACTAAAAATACAAAAATTAGCCAGGTGTGGTGGCGCACACCTGTAATCCCAGCTACTCAGGAGGCTGAGGTGGGAGAATAGCTTGAACCCGGGAGGCAGAGCCTATAGTGAGCCAAGATCGTGCCAGTGCACTCCAGGCTGGATGACAGTGGGACTCTTTTTATTTAAAAATTTAAAAAACATCTATTTGGGACCCAGCAGATCAAGGATGATTTAGCTAGTTTAGGAGTTTTCTTTTTTTTTTTTTTTTTTTGAGACGGAGTCTCGCTCTGTCACCCGGGCTGGAGTGCAGTGGCCGGATCTCAGCTCACTGCAAGCTCCGCCTAGTTTAGGAGTTTTCTTAACTGCCCTGCACTTACTACAAATTGGACGCCCCCATCCTTGAAGACTTTCTGGCTTTGCTGAACTCAAACCTAAGACCAAGAGTGTAAACTCATGGTCTTTAGCCTGCAGAAGTGTTGTTTTTGATTCAGTGGTACTATTGATGTTTTTAAATTAGTTGCCAGCACAAAAATGTCAAGAGATTCACATAAAAATCTGAAGTTATTGGTCATGATCTAGCAAGCCCAGGCTTGTATTCCAATGACAGTGCTTCCCACCAGCCTAATTTACTTCCCATTTCAGCACCACTTAGATCAATTTACACTCTGCTTTTAGTAACATGCCATACCTGTGGACATTGGAAGTGGGCCTCTGACCTAAAACAGTGAGCTGGAAGAGGACTGGATTTGGGCATTACTCATGTCAGGTTGATCAAGGCAATTGATTTATTTCTCAGTTTTTGTTGTATGTTTCTAAATCAAATAATCATTTATCCCATTACGTTCATCTCCTTTTGATGATTTCTCATGTAAAGCTCAATAAGGCTAAGATTTTTGTCTGTTTTGTTCACTCCTGAATCCAGCACCTAGAACAATGCCAGGAGTATAATAGATGCTTAATAAACATTTGTTTTGCTTTTTTTTTTTTTTTTGAGACGGAGTCTCGCGCTGTCGCCCAGGCTGGAGTGCAGTGGCCGGATCTCAGCTCACTGCAAGCTCCGCCTCCCAGGTTTACGCCATTCTCCTGCCTCAGCCTCCCGAGTACCTGGGACTACAGGCACCCGCCACCTTGCCCGGCTAGTTTTTTTGTATTTTGTAGTAGAGACGGGGTTTCACCGTGTTAGCCAGGATGGTCTCGATCTCCTGACCTCGTGATCCGCCCGTCTCGGCCTCCCAAAGTGCTGGGATTACAGGCTTGAGCCACCGTGCCTGGCCTTAATAAACATTTGTTAAATGAATGAAAATTAGATCGTCCAGTAAAAGAAGCCACATGTTGGCCACGTGACAGTGTCTCTCTTTTTTTTTTTTTTTTTTTTTTCCTTAGCCAGATGGTGTGCACCAAATCTTGGCTCCTTCTGTAAAATGTTCTTCCACCCTGTGCTTCAAAATCTTGCCTCCAATGAGTTCACCAAGGAAAATTAGCCATCGCTAGAGTATTCAGAAAGTTGGGAAGCAATATTTTTGTTCAAAACCCAGATGAAAGCCTATATTAATTCCACCTAAATCATCTTTGTAGGAAAGTTGATATTCCTATCACCAATTCATTTCAGACCACATGCAGGTTTTACATTGAAGATCTTGACAAGATATATAGTCAGAGTTGTTAATTGCTCAGTGTGTGATAAATTAAAGAAACACAGCACGTGCTGATGGAAAACACATAAGTAATTAAAGTGCCTGTTCTGCCTTCTCAATGATTGAAATGGTCTTAATATGAATTTTTCAGTTTGTTATTATCCTTCTAAATTTTTCAACCTCCCATTCTGAATTTTATCAAGATGTTAAAAAAGGTAATCGCTTTTAAATTTTAGATACATATAAAATATCTTCTCCTAACCACAAATTTCGATACCAAAGTGTTCTCTATTGCTTTATTTTTTCTCTTCTCTTTTTCTGTCTCTTCGGCCTACCAAAATCTATTTGAGCCACAAAATTTCCGAAAGTTCTTCCAAACTTGTTAATGTTTTCCAGCTATACATTCTTACACAAATTCCTAAATGTTAGCTTTGAGGTGAGTGCATTGGACAATATGGAATCGGGTCTGGAAGAAGATGAGATGAGTGAAGATTTTTTGTTTGGTTGGTTGGTTGGTCGGTTGGCTTAGGCTTTGTCTGTTACGGCACAGAACTGTTAGTGATCTTGTCTCTATTTAAAATGTTGGGCTGGGCACAGTGGTTCACGCCTGTAATCCCCGCATGTTGGGAGGCTGAGGTGGGTGGATCATGTGAGCCTAGGAGTTCAAGACCAGCCTGGGAAACATAGTGAAACCCTGTCTCTACAGAAAATTTAAAAATTAGTCAGGCGTAGTGGCACATGTCTGTAGTCCCAGCTACTCTGGAGCCTGAGGCAGTAGGATTGCTTGAGCCTAGGAGGCAGAGGTTGCAGACAGCCGAGATCCCGCCTCCAGCCTGGGCAGGTAGAGACCCTGTCTCAAAAAGACAAATAAATAAAATATTGATTATGTGTTTATCATGGGGTTTTTGCATTAACATAGATTTTTAAAGCATTACATTAAAATATTACCTATCCTGATTACTGAGATTTTTGATGCCACTTATATTTTGCACCCAAGGCAAATGCCACACCCGGTCCCAGCTCTGGTATAGAAGTTATGCATGAGTTGGCCTACAAACTGGAGAACTTCTCACTCAAGGAAAGGAATGAGCAGTGGGGGGGCTATTTATTCTTTACCGCTTAAAAATATATATTATTGCTGCCTATGGAACTAGAACAAAAGAACTTGGTTGAAAAGCCATTGGTTGTCCAAATGAAAGCAGTAGAAGTTTCCATAGTCTCTCCAACACTCAAAATGAGAAAAATACAGAAAGCATTACATTTTGCTCACTATTTGGCTTCCATTTAGAAGCAAAGATCTTAGATTAAAGAGACATCAGAGGCTATGTGATTTAGGAATTTTTTTAAATCTGGCAATCATTTATTAAAAGTAAAGTGTACTGAAAAGCCAGTCTATAAAAGGGTAAAGGTGACATGGAATCCCCGCGTCTTTCCTCTTTCCTCTTCTCTGAGGCCATTTTCTTTTTTTTTTTTTTTTTTTTTGAGACGGAGTCTTTGCTCTGTCGCCCAGGCTGGAGTGCAGTGGCACGAACTCGGCTCACTACAAGCTCCGCCTCCCGGGTTTACGCCATTCTCCTGCCTCTGAGGCCATTTTCAAAACCTCTGCACTGATACAGTTGCCACAGAGGATCACACTGAGAGGGTCTATAAATTGATCTAGGCCGTGCAGCCAAGAAGTGACAGAGGCTGGGTGTGGTGGCTCACACCTGTAATCTCAGCACTTTGGGAGGCTGAGGTGGGAGGATCCCTTAAGCCCAGGAGTTTGAGATCAGCCTGGGAAACATAGTGAGACCTCTCCTCTACAAAAAAAAAAAAAAAAAAATTTTGGATCAGCCAGGCATGGTGGCGTGTGCCTGTAGTCCCAACTCCTCGGGAGGCTGAGGTGAGAGGATTGCTTGAACTTGAGAGGTCAAGGCTGCAGGGAGCTGAGATCACACCACTACACTCCAGCCTGGGTGACAGAGTGAGACCTTGTCTCGAAAAAATTAAAAATAAAAAGAAGTGCCAGACGCAGGACTAGGACATGGCTTATCTCACTCTGAATTTTCTTTTCCTAATTCCCCTGCCTTGGTCTCCACCTTTCCTGACCTCAACATTTGTGTTCATCTTTTTGAAAGGATCAGTATTCACTTAACCTTTTACCTATTCTCAGGAAGTCCATAACTTACTGAAAGTAAATTACAGTGCCCTTGTAGGAGCATTTGCATTTTCAATCAAATCAAGGCCCCAGATTAAAACAATGATTCTGACCCCTGGCTGCACATTAGTATCACCTGGGGAGCCTTTAAACCATACTGGATGCCAGATTCTTACCCCAGATACTTGGATTTAATTGGTCTGGGGTGGAGCTTGGTATGTTTTTATATTTTTTTATGCCTCCAGGTATTCCAATATGCAAGCAAGATTGAGAACAACTGAGTTACAGCAATAAAACTAATTACATGTGCAAGCCTCAGCCAGTAAGTGGATGATGTAGCCATAATTACACATTCAGACAGGGAAGTAAAGGCAGTCCTGTTTAGGACTAGGCCAGTACTAGGCTCAGTGCTCACTAGAACCAAGCTAGCTCTCCTTCGTCACCTGCTGTCCCATTAGACCTTGAGACATTTTTTATGTGCTTTTCCCCCTGCATCATTTTCTTCAATTTTTTTTTTCAATTTTACACAAGAAGTAAGTCTCCCTCCCACCCCCAACCCACCTCTCACTTCCCCAGAGGCAGCCAGTGTGACTAGTTTCTTTGGCAGACTTCCAGAAATTCCTGTGCATAGATGGACATAAATGTATATTTTCATTACACAAATGGTTGCATACTATACAACCTATTCTGTAATTTACTGTTCTACTCACAATGTATCAGAGATGGGTCCCTATCATATACTCTTTCTTTTTGACACTGCATAGCATTCTATTACAGATTCCCCACAATTTCTTAAGCAGTCCATTATTATTATTATTAAGACAAGGTCTTGCTCTTTTTCCTAGGCTGGAGTGCAGTGGCACAACTGTAACTCACTGTAGTCTCGAACCCCTGGGCTCAAGCCTCAAACTTCGGGCCCCAACCAGTCCATTATTGATAGATATTTGTTTCGAGTATTACTTCTATAATAAATATTTATGCATTTAGTCCTTTGTTCTTCCCGTGATTTTTTTATTTATTAAATATGTTTCCAAGATTATTTTAGTGCCTGCTTGGTGTTCCATTGCTTGAATTTATAATAATCTGTTCAAACAATACTGTCTTGTTAGACATTTATGTTGTTTCAGTTCTTTTTCATTATGAATGATGCTGCAATGAACAATACTTGTATATCAATCTGTGTGTGTATCTTCATGTCCCTAAAATAAATTCCACAGAGTAGAATTATTGGGCCAAAGAACATGTACTTTTTTAAAGTTTTTGATATATAGTGCCAATTTTTCTCCAGAAAGTTGGTAGCAATTTATACCCATCAGCAACATGTAAAAAGTCTCATTCCCCCATTTTTGCTAAAACACAAGTACTGATTGTAAAATTATGAATAGGTTTGTGTCAAAATGCTTGTGATTTTTTTCTAACTAATTTTGGGAGGTTTTTCCATCATTATAAACTACTCTGAGGCTTTAATAATTTCAGAGACTTTTATAAATCTATGTGTCTATCTACAAATCATTGTAACTAGGATTTTATTATAACTAAATTGTAAACCATATGTCTAAAGCTGAGTTTTTAAAAGCTGGAAGTCTAAAGAATGAGCTGCTCTTTACTTTGGGGAGTTCTAATGAAACCCATAATTCAGTGAAAAGTCTGCTTGACACTACAATCCAAAATATTCCAGGTTTTCTTTTAACGCAAATCCACCAGACTCTATAGTTTAGGAAAACCTTGATCTTGTTCTATAGGCATTTCCAAAACTTTATTCTGCACATGCCCCATATACCCTTCTAACTCTTTGCATCTAGGAATGTAGTTTGCCCAAAGCAAATAAAAATTCTACTGGCTAAACCTTCCCTTTCATTCATTCACAGGGAATTCAAGAAAAGTGCTCGGCTTCATGAAGATTAGATCTCAATGGTGACATTTTGCAGAGATCAAGAAAAGGATGTTACCAATTACTTGGGGGAAAAATTGCTCCCCAGGAAGATATAGAGTCCTTTTTAATATCTATCTTGTTATGTCACAGGTTACATGCTGTGCATTTGCTACTACTGTACTTATAGGGGAAATCATCAAATATAGTACATTTGAATTAATTTTAAAAACTAAGAGCTGGATTAAGTAAGAGTAAAGCAATTTCCTGAGAACTCTTCCTGACCATTCATTGTTCAAGTCTTTTAAAAGTCATCACACACTATTTCTTTTGGACTCTTTGTCCTGCCAAGTGATGAATATCTGAAGATCTGGAATCACTCAAATGCACCTAAATTATGGTTAGAATTTACCTGAAGTACATGCCTTGCAAGATTTTTTAGTAGGGCCTGCCTGAAGAATTTTGAGGCATGTGGTGGAATGTCAATGAGATGGCAGATTGCTGAGATGCCTGTTGTTAGCTCTGAAATGCCATCTAAGCCATGTCATGGTGCCAAAGGTATTTATTTCAGTGTACATCTTTCTACAGGGGTAGGTGCAAGGCTGCCAATTCCACTAACTGCAATTCCAGGACTACAGATTCTAAACTTCTTCAAGGCAAGAGTAGAAAGAGAAAGGTTATCTGAGGATTCCAGGATCATTCTCTTCTCTTCTCCGTGAGAAATACCTCAATGTCAGATTGATCTGCAGGAGGTTGGTGCCCTGACTATATAGAAGGCTGAATATTGGTAAAATGGAAATAACTTGTGTCTTCCCAATGCAGCATATTCAAATGATTTAATGTTATTTATTCTTAGGCCACATCTGTCAACTTAGACTAAAATAGACATTTCTTTGCAAAGGAACCTCAAACTCCTTGACCTAACTATGGGATTACTAGGACCCAGTAGACTTAGTATCAAGATAATGGGAGAGAGTTCACCAGGAGTCGAGGATCATGCTACTTTGCCCACTGAGGCCTGACAAGATAGATCCTGCTCTAGATTCTGCCCACAGCAGTTCAGTATTACACAGTGTGTAAGGATTACAACCATATGAGCTTACAGCTCCAATAACCCCATTCATTCTTTTTATTCATGCATGTATGAAGTCGTTTTATTCAGAGGAAGAAGTCTGTGATCGGAAGGACTCAAGTCAGTATCAAGAAAGTTGAGCATGGTCGGGCGTGGTGGCTAACACCTATAATCCCAGCACTTTGAGAGTCCAAGGCAGGTGGATCAGGAGGTCAGGAGATCGAGACCATCCTGGTTAACATGGTGAAACCACATCTCTACTAAAAATACAAAAAATTAGCCAGGCGTGGTGGCAGGCACCTGTTGTCCCAGCTACTTGGGAGGCTGAAGCAGGAGAATAGCATGAACCGAGGAGGCGGAGCTTGCATTAAGCTGAGATCACGCCACTGCACTCCAGCCTAGGCAACAGAGCGAGACTCTGTCTCAAAGAAAAAAAAAAGTTGGCCACAAGGCAGGTTAGCAGAATAGAACTCACAGGTAGGGGCCAAATCTGGTGCACTACCTCAGAGTTGAGATTCATCACAATGAATCTGATGCTGATCCCCAGAAAACAGGACTAGAGTCAGCCAGTCCTGAATTGGTCCTGGGAGCTGGAGACGGGCCATACCTGCACTGGGCACCAAATGGCCCCATGTGCTGTTTGGAGGAAGCTGGCAGAAGGACCTGTGCCTGACAATTCTTTTCTTCCCTTTCCAAGCACGGTCAGCTTAGTAAGTACCAGTTCTGGATTGACTTAAAACAAGTTTCCAAAGACTTCAGATTTCTTCAATATTAAACATTTATACTTTTTTTTTTTTTTTTTTTTTTGAGACGAAATCTCACTCTGTTGCCCAGGCTGGTATGCAATGGTGCAATCTCGGCTCACTGCAACCTCCACCTCCTGGGTTCAAGGGATTCGGGGTTCTCCAGCCTCAGCCTCCTGAGTAGCTGAGACTACAGGTATGCGCCACCATGCCCGGCTACTTTTTGTATTTTTAGTAGAGACAGGGCTTCACCATGTTGGCCAGGCTGGTGTCAAACTCCTGACCTCAAGTGATCCACCTGCCTCTGACTCCCAAAGTTCTGGGATTACAGTCATAAGCCACCATGCCTGGTCCTCACCTTTTGTTTTTTCTCCAAATAAAGACATTTCTGGGCTAAAAAAGTACCAAACCCCAAATGGATGTATTGTTCCAAAGCTTTACTTATAGGTGAGTTTAAAAAAAAAAAAACAAAAACAAAAAACAAAAAAAAACATGAAGTTTCAAAAGTATTGATATTGCTTCCAGGATACAAAATTCAACCCCAGAAAAACATTTCTGGAACTCTCCATATTTTATTCTGTATGGTAATTGTTAGTATATAGTAATTTTTTAAAATTTTCTTGTGAAAAGTGGAACAACACACACACACACACACACACACACACACACACACACACACACACAAAAGGAAAGGAACCTGTTAGAATATCTGATGATACTTGATTGTAAAGGAAGGGCAGATGGGGAGTAAGTCTCAGCATAATAGTGGAGAGCATATCCAAAGTAAATACCATGTTTCCTATCATATTGCATAACAGGATTTTCTGATTAGAAATGGCACATGCTAATTATACAAAATTTGGGAAATACAAAAAATATTAAGGAGGAAATGAAATACGCTGAAGACCACCATGGTCAGTATTTTGCTATATATATCACTTGTCTATCTTATTCTTGTTTTATGCTTACAAAGTAAACATGAATTTTTAAAAATATAATTAAATACATATTTTGAATTTCTGCTCTTTTTACTTAGTAATCTAACATGTTTTTTTCTTACCCATATTTTATAACATGATGTTATTTCATCGTATGAGCATTTAATAATCTATATTCACCTTTCTCCCTTTGGTGCGCATTGACTTATTCTTCTCACTTTTTTTTTTTTTGAGACGGAGTTTCATGCTTGTTGCCCAGGCTGGAGTGCAATGGCATGATCTTGGCTCACCGCAACCTCCACCTCCCAGGTTCAAGCGATTCTCCTGCCTCAGCCTCCCAAGTAGCCGGGATTACAGGCATTCACCACCACGCCTGGCTAATTTTGTATTTTTATTAGAGACAAGGTTTCATCGTGTTGGTGAGGTTGGTCTCAAACTCCCGACCTCAGGTGGTCCACCCGCCTCAGCCTCCCAAAGTGCTGGGATTACAGGTGTGAGTCGCCATGCCCTTCCTCTTCTCACTATTATAAGTAGCACACACTATCACAGATATCCTTTGTCTAAAATCTTTTTTTTTTGGAAACAGGGTCTTGCTCCCTCACACAGGCTGGAGTGCAGTGGCTCAATTACAGTTCACTGTAGCCTTGGCCTCCTGGGCTCAGGCTATCCTCCCACCTCAGCCTCCAGAGTAGCTGGGACTATAGGAATATGCCATGCCTAGCTAGATTTTTTATTTTTAGTTTTTGTAGAGGTGGGGGTTCACTATGTTGCCCAGGTGGCTTCAAACACCTGGGCTGAAGTCAACCTTTTGGCTCAGTCTTCCAAAGTGTTGATATTACAGGTGTGAGCCACTGCACCCAGCCCCTTGTCTTAAATCTTTGTGAGCATCCCTGAATTGATATTCCAGTCAGAACTGTAATGAGTAGGACAGGGGATTCTCATCATAACAAAGAATACTTTTATAGACTTATTTCAAAACTGGAAATTTACCAAAATAGAGGAGATAGTCCTGTTTCTTCATCTTAAACAAACTCCTTGATTCTTACCATCTGCCACAGCCTACTGTGTTGGTCTTCTCCTTCCGCCTGGCCACTGCCACGCTTACGGTGTTTACTCTGGAAGAAATGCCACCTGGTAGCACAGGGCAAACGGCAGAGGAAGCCAAGGCCCAGACCTACAACCACTAAAGGACACTAGGTGTGCATTGCAGGAGCCGTTCCAGCTGCATGACTGAGCATAAAGGCACAGCTATGATCAGATTCAGCATCCCCCAGGCATAGCAGGAGCTGTGACCATACAGGGCTATGGGAGGGAACAGGAGCATAAATAAAGGTAGCATTGCTCTAGAATATGGAAGGAGCTGGCTGGGTGGAATCCAGAATGAGTACTCTGGAGGGAATAGATAAACAGGAATTACACGTAAGATCGTCCATAGGGTTAGCTCAGACTAGAGTTCAGAAGCAGGGAGCCAGCCTGTACAAACAGGAAGTGGCTAGAGTTAGACAAGGAAGCAAAGAAACAGGTTCAGGCCTGGGCCCACTCTTATGGAATAAGAAAAAGTGCTGACCTGGGGCTCACGTAAATGAACAAATGATCTGGAGTACAAATCCCAGTTAGGGGGAGGCATGTCAGTTAGATTGGGTTAGGCTATGCTGCGGTAATAAATAACCCTGAAATCTAAATGGCTTACAACAAAATTATACTTCTTCGTCTACCACCTGGTCACTGCATGTCACAGGAGGGTTCCAAACCACATTGTCCTCACCCTGGAATCCCAGGTTAATGATCTACATCATCTATAGTTGAGGCAGGGGGCAAAGAGAGAACTGGACAGTGCAGCACCGACACTTAAATGCTGTAGTTGGAAGGGATGCATTCACTTCTGCTCATATTTCCTTGGCCAAAGCAAGTCACATGGCCATGCTTAACTTCAGTGGACCATGTGACTGGAAACAGGAGAAATGAGAATTTCCATGAGCATTAGCAGTGGCTACCAGGTAATGACAAATGCTAAATTCTAAAGAGGAGATGCTGTCAAGGGGAGAAAATTCAAGGCATTTAACTATAACTTCACCTGGAGTCCAAGTTTCTATTTCTCTGGGAATTCTGATGGGGCTTAATCTTCAGCAGACTAGCACTCCTGTTCCAACTGAGAGCTTGAGAAGGAGGAGCATGGACGTGACAGGGCTGATTCTGTGGGATGGTGTCGTTACATAAGCTCCACAGCAGTGGCACCTTAAGCTCATGACTGAATCCAAGGAATTCTAAGCATGCCCTGGCTGTTAGGGTGGTCATCTTACCTCTCTTCAAATTTGTACTTTTCTTCAAATTCGTACTCTTCTTCAAATTCATGCTTTTAGATACTTGTTGGCAAACTGACACTCCCCAAGCAGTTATTATAATTTAGCTCTCCTGGGGGGATAAAAGCATCTGTGTGCATTCAAATACGTAATAATGTCAAACAGCTGAATGATATCAAAAGGCATGTTTATCTCAGATGAATTTGGGA